CTCTCTCTCTCTCTCTCTCTCTCTCTCTCTCTCTCTCTCTCTCTCTCTCTCTCTCTGTGAATGCACTAAGAGGTCAAACCCTGACTACTACATCTCTCTCCTTCCTCGCTGATTGTAACTGTGGTGCTGTGCACCACGGTACTCCGCCAGTTCGGCCGACCAGTCTCATCAGACCGTCGCACAAGTGTGCAGCAGCGCTTCCGCAACACACCAATCAACAAGCGAGTTGCCCAGGTACTGTGGCTGCTTAAGTAGCAGCCGCAATTGACAATCTTTGTCCCCTCCACACTGGTAACCTTCTCCCAAGGGCTGTCGGCCGCAAATTGTTCTGGTTCTGGAAGATTCCCCGGCCTTCCCTGGATGCTGCTGCTAAAATTAGTCTGGGACATGGACTTTTACTGTTGGGTACCGGACCTACCGGACTCCTAACGAACTAAGAATTCTTAATGACCTACAGTAGCTGAATCGGCAATTCGGTCATGGGGCCTGCCGATTCGGCTATAGTACATGGGGATGGGACCATTTGGACACTGGGACCGAGACCAGGACACAGGACTTGACTGACACATGAAATCCTTTCAACCTAATTCTACCTGTCTCAAATTCATGTGCTTTCTCTTTCCATCGGCCCCACTCTTTGCCCCAAGTCTGTACCCTCTTCCTTCTTTGCGTATTGCCCAAATAGTTTGCTCTCCGCTGAAATTGTGCTCATCTCCTCATTTGTCTGTGCTTCCAGTCCATTGACCCCTCCTTATGGGGCTTCAAACTTTTTTTTACCTGCTCCCCAACTTCTTGTTCTCCTCACCCCATCTACTGTTTGAACAATGCACTTCTACTCTGCCTCACGTCTCTTTTTTGCTCCCCGAGGGACCAAGCATTTTATAACCCAAACCTTGTGGTGCTGGATCGTGCTGCTCATTGGTCTGGCAACTGCACCGATCCTGGTAGGCTGGTAGCCGGCCTCCACATCACTCAGCCACTATCACCGCTTGACAGGTGTTCTATCTCTACATCGGCTGCTATCCCTTCATGACCGGTACCAACTATCCCCTGTACTTCCAAGAAAGAGTTACCTCATTTTCCGCACTACGGTCAGTATCCTGATTTTTCTCCGTTCAGAGGATATTTTGAGCGCATTACACGTTTACAGCACCCGACGGGACTGATTTGAACCCCCTCCCGGCTACTGTTGCATCCAAGAACTGGTATGCTCCAGTAACCTGCTCTATCCGTGCTGGTGCCCTTGAAGGAGAATGGTTTACTCCTACATTTTGTTGGTGCTCTGGGATCACTCTACAAATGGCGTTGGCCCTGCCTCCCTCACGATCCCTCTTGGAGCCCAATCTCAGAGAAGCCCACAGACTCGTCTGATAGTGTGGTAACTTCCGTGTTAGCCTACCAGGCAAACTGAGAGGAGGGCATTTGGCTATCTGGTCTATTTGTCTTTACGGTCCTTTTTTGCTTTTTGCCTGTTTTTCACTGTTTTTTTTTCTCTTGTTTTAGTTGCTTAACTATGTTGCAATACCCTGCTCGATATGCCCTGAAGTGACCCTAAGGCCACACGCAGGCGGCAACCCCGGTCTGAGGCCACAAAGGCCAAGGGGAGGAAAACCCTCAAATTGACCCAGGGCCTGTGCGCCCAACAGTTGACTTCGGTCAACTGCCCAGCGGCCCAAGAGTCCAAGTCTGCATGTACCCAGCCCAGGCCGCCGGTCAGACACACACACTTGTTTGTATGCAGGTACCAAGGCAGCATTCGGACCAAGTGGAAGTCTGCAACTGTACGCGATCCAGGCCCTCGGCTGTAAGTCAATCTGAGCCACCATGTGTGGGAGACCTGAGGCCGGTCAGCCTCATCAAACACTACATAAGGCCCGGCCTCCAGAGAGTCAACATTCAGTCTTGCTATGCTGACTTGATGCTGGCTTGACGCTGGCTTGATGCTTGCTGGACGCTGGCTTGACGCTAGCTGGACGCTGGCTGTACGCTGGCACTGTGGACGACGACGTGAGACTGCTGCTGCATGCTGGCATCTCCCTGCGTCGGCGCCAACCTCTGCTGACGTGGCGCAAGGCCACGCTGCCTTCGACATTGCTGATGTGGCGCATTCCACTCTGTCTGCATTGTTGACGTGGCATCTGCCACACTCTCTTCATTGCTGAGTTGGACGCGACAAGGAGGGAGATCGGGATCTGTGGATGATTGAGAGAGCGAGAGAGGATACTTACCTTCTGTTGATGTTGATACTGTGTGCTGCTGAACGTCTTCACGGGAGAACTGTGCCACGTGGCACTTTGATGTGATCAGGACCTGTCAGGCTCGTTATTGGACACTGTTTGCTGATGTGGAGGCGAGGGGAAGCCTGTTGGAGAAGAGGGAATGTTCGGCTACTATCTCTGTGGTCATTGAGTGATACCATCTCTTCCACCTTCTAATCTGTCTAATCCCCCTCTCCTCTCTTCGTCCATTGGCTATGAGACATTGTATTACAGATCACATTCACGATTATTGGAGACTTTGTTCAGCGATGAGTTTTCTTGTACGTCGACTCTTGACAAGTATCTTCCAGACTGGGTTCATTACAATTTGGTATCGGAGCTTACCGTCTTTGTCGCGATCTGCTGTCAGGCGCCACGTGGCGCCCAGGTAAGTGGGAGGTGCTGCGCATGATAGGACAGAAACGTGTTTATTAACGCGCGTGATTATTATCACGAGACTAGGCATTGACTTCCACACGCGTGTGCACACTCCCTTGAAGATGATGACGTGGACACTTCGAAGAGAAGACGGCGACATTGCTTACCTGGCGCTTTGTTGCTGACCTGGCAATCAGATACTGGTGAGAGAATCGTTGGCTGCGGGCTGATGGGGCGCTGGTAGGAGAGAGAGAGAGAGAGAGAGTGGGTATCGGGACTGCTGACGTGGCACGCTGCCTATGTGGCATGACGCAGGGGTTCTGACATGGGATCCTAAGATTGGCAGGGTATTGTCTGACGTGGCATGTACCTGTGTCGCAACTTACCTGCTGGCGTGGCGTTCCACTCTCCAGCAGTACTTCGATCTGACGTGGCATAGCAGGGGTGGATGATTTGGCAGTGGGCGCGTTGCTGATGTGGCACCCTTCTTGACGGCCTACTGGCCATTGAATGCCGACGTGGCAACCCCCCGGAGGTGCTGCGTTGGCATGCCAGGGTGACAATTGGTAGCGGACGTGCCCTGCCTCGGGTGAGAAGTTGATACTTGCACTTGTGTGCGGGCGGTACAGCTTCATGATTTGCTGTAGTGCCACGCGCCGGCCCTTGTGTCTGGCCGCATTGGTATCTGCAGATGGTGCAGCCGAAGAGGAAAGTGCAATCAGACTCGCTTCC